GCTTCTTAATAGGTTTGGCATGGACAAGATTTATGAAGGCCAAGTGGAGGTGACGGGAGATGAATACAATGTGGAAAGCATTGATGGTCAGCCTGGTGCCTTTACCTGCTATTTGGATGCAGGGCTTGCCAGAACTACTACTGGAAATAAAGTTTTTGGGGCCCTCAAGGGAGCTGTGGATGGAGGATTATCTATCCCTCACAGGTAACTAGTATTTGAGGCCTCCTTGCCTAGACTCCAGTGTTTTCCTTATTCTAACTGGTTGGGGTATGGAGTTTACAGAATCAAAAGTAATAGGTAGATTTCATTGTGTGCCTGCCATATGCTCAGTTCTGTGTAAATGGAATCTGGCAGAGCAGGAATGAATTGTACTGTTTTCTATAAATGAAGAGACTGAGATTCAGAGGTAGATGATTTTTTGAAGGTTTTGGAGCCAATAAATGGAAGATCTGGGTTAAAACCACTACATTTTGTGTATAACTTAGTTTTGGTTAGAAATGAATGCTCATTTCTACTACTTCTCTTCCAATGCATTTTCTTTTTTCATTCAAAATGAAAATTGCTTTACTGAGTTATAGAAAAATGTGAACTCAAGGGGAAAAGGCGATGAGCAAAAACAACAGATTTCTCAACTTTTCAACTGCAAATAAGATTACAGGCTGTTCTTAGAAGCTAAGTAACCTCTTTTAATTTGGTAGTTCCTTAGTTTAGTTAATGCTATTTGTGTGTTTTTTGAGTATGTGCATCTTAAAGTGATGTATTAGCTTGGATATTTTAGTGGTTGGTGATTTAATAACCAAAATTTTTGGTCATAGGTGTCTTTGGGGAATGGGGCCAGCAGTAATCCTATATACAATATAACCTGAATGGAACTTTGTTTATAATGTAGCGTTGGGGGATGGGTATTCTTTTTGGGGACCTGCAGGTCTCTTGCAAGGTACCTTAAATAACTTATAGGATCTTAAATAACTTACCCCCATGTACCTTGTGGTGACTGAGAAATTTAGGATTTTGTAGGAAGCAGTTTTGAAACGTTTTCCTCCTGTGCTAAGGAAAATGAACTTTAGACTGGTGGGAAGCCTTGGTTCATTTAATGGTTTTCAGAGGTGCTTGTGGCATGATTTTCTTTTCTATCCTGCAATGAATTTTCTTTTCTATCGGAGCTGCTGAATGATGATACCCCACTAACTGAGCAGTCATAGTTGGTCCTTTGGTTGCATATGATGCAATTAATTGTTTCAAGACGGGACTGATGGCAGCTACTGAAATGAATTCTTGTGAACTGATTTCAGTCAGTGTGTACTAAAATGTGAAAAACTTTATTTTAGTACCAAACGATTCCCTGGTTATGATTCAGAAAGCAAGGAATTCAATGCAGAAGTACATCGGAAACACATCATGGGGCAGAACGTTGCAGATTACATGCGCTACCTAATGGAAGAAGATGAAGATGCTTACAAGAAACAGTTCTCCCAGTACATAAAGAACAGCGTGACTCCAGACATGGTAAACATTTTAACTAAAATGTTTACTAATTTGTAGAACTAGGCTTTCTACTTGTTTTTGGTGTGTGAATGATAGTTTTATTTCAGGTTAACATTTAGATGTTGAATATGGGTGTGTTCATTGGTGTAGACAGACTCAAGCTGTTGGCTTAGGATGAAATTGGGATGTTGGACCTAGGGTAGGTTAAAAGTGAGATAGGGATAGTTTCTGTTTTGATACACCCATAGAGTTGTAATTGAGAAAAGATCTCTTTCTGTATTTGTGTGCTCAGTACACAGTTTTCAGCTGAATAAACACGTAGCTTGAGTTTTTGAGCTAGGAAAGACCTCTCATCTTGGTAGGGGGTCTTCACTTTGACTATAATCCTACTTAGCCTGCATAATTTTTCTTCCTAAACCGTATCTTGCTCAAAATGTTTTGAACTCAATCTGTGCTTTCAGGTGTCTATTTCCTAATGCTTTCCTATATACACATGCTATATCTCAGCTGGAGCACTGGTTGATGTACTTTTCCAGCTAGCTCATTAATTTTATCTATGGAGGTTTCTTGCCTTTTGCATGCCTCTGAAATCCTCTGCAGACATCTGATGTGTCTTTAGCAGGCAGTGTTATCTAACTGTCATCTACATACATGGTTATATTTCTTGTCTGATCTCTCGGAAGGAATGAACTGGGTTGCTTAGATTTGTTATATGACTACATCTGAAGTCATCAGATGCATTTGTTAAGTACAGTGGAGAGCTGTTGATAAACAGAAGTGAACTTTCAAAGGGGATTTAGGTAGTTGAGATTTCAGGTGCATGAGAGTTTTTGCATTATTTTCATTTTGCTAAACTTAATACAAATGCATGTAATAATACCATTTCTTCACATTGAATGAGTGATTTTAGAGACCTGGATTACCTTGACTCTTTCTTCAGTGGACTACAATAAACTAGATTTGGATCATGAACATTCAGGCATTTCTAGAGCTTTTTTTCATGACTTAATCTTCTACAGTATCAGTAGTCATTTATGTGGGGGCAGTAATTGAAACAATTCAATATTGCAACATTATTTTTTGATGAGTTTCAGAACAAAATTCTGATTAAGATACCTAATTGAATAGTTTTTCATAGTTTTCTAGGGAAACTCAGACTTCTTTCTGGTTTTACAGAGGCCTAATATACCAGTGACTCGTGGTAGTAAGTAGAAGAGGTAGGTCTCTGGTATACAATGAAATAGCTTTGAAAGACATCAGTGGGAAATGTAAGTCTGACAAATATGGGAGGTGCCAAGAATTTGGCGGTTGTTTATTGGCCCCATATACTCTTCATTTTAACATCTCAAATACTTTGTTTTGAAATGTATCCTCACTTTTAAGAACTTAGGTCAGACAGTATTTTAAATGAGCATGAAGTGTTTATGCGGAAGTCAATTTGCTTTAAACTTGAGTGACTCAGGAAGTCTAGTTGAATTCCTCAGAGGACACTGATTTTTCTTGAGTAAGATTGAATTTCTTTTCTGAATATTGTCAATTCATGTTGCCTGTAGTAAAAATGGGAAATTTCTTAGGTGGGTTACATTTAGAGATTTAAGTAGATAACCAACATTGGCCTGGTTTAGTTCCTTTTGAGAATCTTGCTTAGAAGGACAGACAAAATAGAGAATACAGTAACAGGTTACTGTGTAGGGCTTGGGAGATGAAACCAAGTACTGTTTGCTGTGCTTTGTTTCAGATGGAGGAGATGTATAAGAAAGCTCACACTGCTATACGAGAGAATCCAGTTTATGAGAAGAAGCCTAAGAAGGAAGTTAAAAAGAAGAGGTATGTGTCTTACCATTGTCTTTTCAAGAGAAAGGTTGGGAGTGGTTCCCTGCCTTGTTCAATCTTAGACTCTTAGTGAAATTGTGCAAACTCGATCACTAACTCTGCATGATGTTGCAGAAGTGAGGGGAACCAGGTTTGCTAAAGTAATTGTGGTGATAGAAATGTATTAACCTCAAGCTACTGAGGTGGCCCATTCTATCCTAGTACAGCATAACTATGCAGTTAATTTTTTAATAAACTAAAAAGAATTATTTTCTACTTACATTCATCAAACATTTTGGTGTTTGAATGAGTAGAAAATAATAATGAGTGAGCATACTAATATGTTTGTTTGACTTTGGCCTGTGTGATAATAGGTACACAATTACAAAAGTTGGGGTTTGGGAAAGTAAGCTTAAGATAAAAAAGTATGTGTACTGGAACTTGGATTATTTGACCTTCATCTGATTATAGGTTTTTGTCTTCTTCAATGAAAGTTAAGTTTTTCTACCTTTAGCTATGGTTTTTAAAAATCACATTTCTGTCTCTTAATTTTACTTTGTTCTGTAGGTGGAACCGTCCCAAAATGTCTCTTGCCCAGAAGAAAGATCGGGTAGCTCAGAAGAAGGCAAGCTTCCTTAGAGCTCAGGAGCGGGCTGCTGAGAGCTAATATACCAAATCACAATTTTCTAGGAAGTTTTTTCAGATAAAAACAATAATAAAATTATTGACCAAGCATCTATTCCTGTGTTAAGCTCTTGTTAATGAAACCAGGAAATACTCTGAACTGTAAAAGCAGAGGAGTTGACAGTTTTTTTTTCTTCAAGAGACAAACAGCTTTTCCCCGAAAAGGTTGTCTTGCATATTGACTCATGTTCACACCTTCTTGGGCTTCTGCTTTCCCCAGGAGTTGTCCCACAAATCGTGCATTCTTCCTAAAAAGTCTGGCAAGCAACAGACCAGCCATCTACTAGGAAATAATTTATTCTATTCATTTATTGTAACCGGATGATGAGTGGGAAGGAAAAGTACCTTTAAAGTATACAGTGTAGAAATAAGCAAAATCGGTACTGATCCGTGGCTTTAATTTTTGAAAGAACTGTCCAGTGAAGGTCACATAATTTTAAAACATTTGAAACCAGGAGAAAACTTTGAGTAGAAAACACTGGGTCTTTTCTCTAAAGGAGATGTTTCATTCTAGGAAGATGTTAATGGTATATGCCAAATCTGAATAGAAATGAAAGTATAAAAAGGTGCTAACTATTAATCCCTTATATCAAATTTACATGAGAAATGTCAAATTCATGAATAAATTCACATGTGTTAAGAAATAGCCCTTTGGCCAACAGAACTGTTTAGAAATGGAAGATAATTCTAAGTAAGTTCCATGATTTCAGCTTCCTGCTTATAAAGAACTTCACCATAGTTTAACTTCAGGATATGTGGATCTGGATTGGGTTTATGGCCTAGTGACGTCAGTTTTGAAAAGACTTGGCTGGTTGATAATAAGGTGGACCCTTGGAATCTAGGATGGTGAAAGCTTACCCAGTTTCAGCCTCTCTCAACTGGCAATATACATTGCCAGGTAGAATACTTCCCGATAGCATTTTAAGAGGCTCAGTAAGTCTCTGAAGCCACATTTCATGTCTAAATTAGAGTTAAATTAAAATGTGTTCATAATATAACAAACCATGATAACCCAATGCTTGTTTATAAAGGAGTAATTTTAATTTACCTGCTTTGCAGTCTTAATTTCTGTTAATGTGCAAACTTTACCATGCTAAGACTTTAGTAAATTTATGTATAAACTTTTTAAAACAGCAGCTTCAATGTAGACAAATGTTTCCAGCAATGATATTTTGGCTAACAAACAAAATACTCTCACTGTTGGTATTTATGGAATGAGGCTTTTCACAGCATTATTTTAAGTCATCAGTCAGAATAGTTACACAGTGAATGTACTGGAAAATGTACCAGGGCTTCTAAAAGGGCAGGAATGAAATCTTTTTGGACCTGTTGATCCTGTACCTCCTGCCAGTACTTCAGCAATCCACATGTATTTTAAGATGGCTTCTTAGGACCTGGGAAAGGAATTTTAAGTCAGGGATTTAAAACGATATTTTTTGAAGGATGCTCAGAATTTTTCTTAAGAAGTAGGTTTCCTAAAATGGTCACATGTCCAAAGGAACTAAGAGTCATTTGTATAGGAAATTTTCTTCCATAGTAACGTTTTTAGGTTATTTAGTATCAAAGAATGTTCCATTTCCATTTGAGTTGCTGTGACTTTGAGAGCAATGCAAGAATAAAGCTGCTTTTCTAATTCTTCACGAATTTCACTTGGAGCACCACGCAGTAGGTAGTCTTTGAGTAACTGACAGGCTTTCGCCAAGTTTGGTTGTATCACTTCGGAAGTACACTTCATTGTACTCTGATCACAGCTAGTTCGACAATCCGTGCCGTAAACACAGTCCAAATCAGACTCACAGTGACGATCCTTTATAAGTTGTTTAAGGTTTGTCTCTGGCACAATTTTTCTCATGTCCACCATTTTCAAATCATACTTGTCATTATACCCTAGGTTTCTGGCACTAGTGTCACACATGAGGAAGTTTCCATAGGGCCCATGGAAAACATCTTCCACAAATTCCAGAAGTCCTATGGCTATTTTAGCCTTTCTAGGCCATGATGGTGTGAACAACTGATCCATGCTTCTTCTGAATCCAGATGGAATAAAAAGTTCAATGACCCATGGAAGGCTTATTCCATAAAGAGAGGTATATTCAACACTTTCCATCACATATAGATCACCACAGAAGCCCATTAGTTTGGGAGTGTGTTCTTTATCTTGAAGTATCACCATGAGAAGAAATTCATTTAATTGAAGAAGTGCCCATGCTGACTTAGCTTCTCCCAAGGAAACCTGGCCATCTTTGTCTCCATCAGCCACTGCCAAGATGAGATTAACCAGTTCCGAGAGGTTTCCTTGGTCACCCAACTTTGCCTATGTAAAGATAGGAATTTGGCAATTTATACAAAAAGAATGAAAAATACCTCATGTAACATACTAACTTCATGGGGATTATTACCATGCCAAGTAATAATCTTGCTAAAGAATCCACATAAGGGAATTTAATACACCTCCAAATATTTATGATGCTTGCTTAAGTGAATTAGAAGTATGTTTTATGTAATTGCAGTAAAACCTACTTGGCTAAGTATATTCGTGTGTTTAAGACATGGCCGTCTGAACTCCGTGTGCCCCCTTACACCCTATAAAAAATAGTAAATCAAGACAGTAATTACTCCTTGTCATATACACTTGCAAAATTACAGTGTAATGTGTTCATATGCAAAGTTATAATAAGTGTCACCTGGAAATTATTTTCTATTTTATAGATACCACAACAGAATTTGCTCAGGTTGCTTTTTCCCAATATTAAAGGTTAAAAAGTATTTCCCTGTGAAGGTTCCTGGGATAAAATAGTCTGAGAAATGTAAACTGTCCAAAGTGAAAGATTTTGAGTGAAAATACAAAAGCAATAAAAAAAGACTCCAAAATCTTAACTATTTTCATCTTTTAATATTTTTAATCTTTTCATTAGTATTTCTTTAAATTTTTAAAAAGTACTTTGCAGAGTGTACTGATTTTATTTCACTCTAAAAAAATGTGTGTCAGCTATAATGTCAAACTTAAGAGCAGACTATCTACTTAATGAACTCCCTTATATTTGGACATTTTTAGCTATCAGAAGTAATGTTTATGTGAGTATCTTCCACACATTTTTTTCCTTTGAATTATTTCCTCAAGGTGGAGTCCCTGACTTAATCAAAGAATAGCACATCTGTATGGCTTGTGATGAGGTCCTGCCAACTTCCAGAAGAGCATACCATTTCACACTAGCAACATGCAGATGGCTTTACTTACTTTAAAGAGACTGTAGACCATTTCTTTGAACTTCTGTACAGTAGTTCCCCTAGTTGGCTTATCAAATAATACTATTTCTTTTCTTGGTTCCAATTCAGTTCCAAAATCAAGATGAAGTGCTTGTTCCATCTGACATTTCACAACACCTGGTAGATTCCCCCAAATCCCTAAATACATCTATGTGAGAAAGAATGACAAGTTATGCTTGAGGTTGAGCAGAAAACTCATCTATTACTATAGTGTCCTCAAAAGACACAAACACAACAAAACATTAAGATTGAGCTGTATTTCTCTTTTTGAATTGCAAATTTGAAACCATACTCCAAAGCTTTTCCCATAATTTTTAGAAATTATAAAAAATACATGACTAAATACATATTTTTTGACCCTGGTCACTAATTTTATTTCTTTTTCCACATTTTGTGACAAAATGTGACATCTTAACCATTTTTAGTGAACGGTTCAGGGATATTACATTCATAATGTTGTGCTACTATCAATACCATCTCCAGAACTCTGTATCTTGTAAAAGAGATACTCTACACCCATTAAATAATTCCCCATCCTCCTTGTCCCCCAAGCCTCTGGCATCACTGTTCGACTTTATGATGTTGTCAACTCTTAAGTATCTCACAGAAGTTGAACCATATAAAATTTGTCTTTTTGTGACTGGCTTATTTCACTTAGTATAATATCAAGGTTCATCCATATTATAGAATGTGTTAAGATTTCCTCATTTTAAAAACTGAATAATATTCCATTGTATGTCTATACCGCATTTTGCATCTCTGTTCATCCACAAATGGAAACTTAAATTGCTTCCACATTTTAGCTATTATGAATAATGATGATATGAAAATGCATGTACAAGTATCTTTTGGAGACCCTGGCTTTCAATTCTTTTACATATATACTCAGAAGTAGCCCTGCTAGATCATACAGTAATTCTATTTTTAATTTTTTGAGGAATTGTCATACTGTTTTTCATGTGACTATACCATTTTACATTCCCATCAATGGGGGTTACAATTTCTCTACAACCTCTCCAACATTTGTTATTTTCTGTTTTTTAAATAGTAACCATCTTATGTGTATCTCATTGTGACTTTCTTTGATTTGCATTACCCTAATAATCAGTGATATTGCAACTCTTTTCATATACTTAATAGTCATTTGTGTATCATTTTTGAGAAATGTCTACTCAAATCCTTTGCCCATTTTTTAATCTGGTTGGGGTTTTTTGTTGTTGAGTTTTAGAAGTTCTATACATATTCTGGATATTAATCCTTTGTCAGATATATGATCTCTAAATATATTCTCCCATTCTGTAGGCTGCATTTTTACTTTCTTGATATGGTATTTTGACGCACAAAGTTTTATATATTTTATGAAGCGCAATTTGTCTTTTTCTTGTGTTGCCTGTGCCTTTGGTGTTATAGTCAAGAAATATTTGACAAATCCAATGTCATGAAGTTTTTGCCCTATATTTTTTCTAAGAATTTTATAGTTTTTGTTATTATACTTGTCTTTGATCCACTTTGGCTTAATTTTTGCGTATGATAGTAAGTAAGGGTCCAACTTCATTCTTTTTTCTGTGTATATCCAGAACTAGCATCATTTGTCGAAAAGACAGTCCGTTCCCTATTAATGCTCTTATAACCCTTGTCAAAATAATTTCATCATGTAGGTGAGAGCTCATTTCTGGGGTTTCTGTTCTATTCCATTGATCTGTATGTGTACCTTTATTTTAGTACCACACTATTTTGATTACTGTTGTTTTGTGTAAAAAGTTGTGAAATTAGGAAATGTGATTCCTACCTACAGCTTTGTAGGTTTTTTTAAAGTTTGTTTTGGCTATTTGGGGTCCTCTGCTATTTCATATGAATTTTAGGATGGGTTTTTCTATTTTTGCAAAAAACTGTCATTAGGATTTTGATAGAGATTGCCCTAAACTTACAGATCACTTTGGGTAGTATTAACATCTTAACAATATTATACCTTTCAATCCATGATCATGGGATATGTTTCCATTGGCTTATGTCTTTAACTTCTTTCAGCAATGTTTTGAAGTTTTCACTGGAAAAATGTTTCACTTCCTTGGTAAATTCCTAGGTACTTTATTCTTTTTGATGCTGTTGTAAATGGAATGGTTTTCTTAATTTCCTTTTTGGATTGTTCATTGCTAGTATGTAGAAATGCAACTGATTTTTGTGTGTTGACTTTGTTTTCTGCTACTTTACTAAATTCATTAATTAGCTCTAATAATTTTTTTGGTGGAAACTTCCGGTTTTTCATATAAGATTATTTTGCTTTTGCCTTCTCAGTTTGGGTGCTATTTATTTCTCTTTGTTGTTTATTTGATATGGCTGGAACTTACATTACTATGTTAAATACAAGTGGTGAAAGTGGGTATCCTTACCTTGTTCCTGCTCTTAGATGAAAACCTCTCAGATTGAGTATGTTGTTCGCTGTAGGTTTTTCACATATGGGCTTTATTATGTTGAGGTAGTTGCCTTCTATTCCTAGTATGCTGAGTGTTCTTATCATGAAGATTCTGAATTTTGTCAAATACTCTGTCTGCATCAATTGAGATGATCCTGTGAGGTTTTTTCCCCTTCATTCTGTTAATGTGGAGTATTATACTGATTGATTTTTGTATGTTTAACCATCCTTGCATTCCATGAATAAATCTCATTTGGTTGTGGTGTATGATCCTTTTAATATGATCCTGAATTTAGCTTGCTAGTATTTTGTTGAGAATTTTTGCATCAATGTTTATGAGGGATATTGATCTGCAGTTTTATTTTCTTGTAATGTCTTTATCCTGGCTTTGGTGTCTGGGTAATGCTGGCCTAATAGAATGAGTCAGGAATTATTCCCTCTTCTTCAAGTTTTGGGAAAGGTTGAGAAGGAATAATATTCTTCTTCTTTAAATATTTCATAGAATTCACCAGTGAAGCCAAAAGGGAGAACTCACCAAGGTTTTTCTTGTTCGAAGACTTTTGATTATCAATATAATCTCCTTCTAGTTTTAGGTCTACTCAGATTTTCTATGTCTTGGTAGGTTTTGTGTTTCTAGGAATTTGTCCATTTCATTTAGGCTATCAAACTTTGTGTACAATTGTTCATAGTACTCTCAGATAATCCTTTTTATTTATGTAGTATCAGTAGTAATGTCTCCACTTAATTCCTGATTTTAGTAATTTGAGTCTTCTTTTTCCTTCTGTCTAGTAAAGGTTTGTCAATTCTGCTGATCTTTTCAAAGAACTTTCAGTTTCACTGATTTTTCTGTTTTTCTATTCATTTATCTCTGCTTTAATCTGTTATTTCCTTCCTACCAGCTATGGATTTGTTTTTTCTTTTCCTGGTTCTTCAAGTTGTAAAAAGTAAGGCTGTTTAAGGTCTTTCTTGTTTCTTAAAGTAAGCATTAGTAGCTGCAGCATACCTCCTTGTATTATATCTTGCTTTATTGTGCTTCACAGATATTGCTTTTTTTCCATAAATTGAAGGTTTGTGGCAACCCTGCATAGAGCAAGTTTATTGGTACCGTTTTCCCAACAGCATTTGCTCACTTCCTGTCTCTGTGTCACATTTTGGTAATTCTCACAATTTTTCCAACCTTTTCATTATTATATTTGTCAGGATGATCTGTGATCAGTGATTATAACTCACTGAAAGTTCAAGTGATGGTCAGCATTTTTAGCAATAAAATATTTCTTAAAATATTTTTATTGAAGTATTGTTGACATAAAATCTCATATTGCTTACAAATACACAATACAGTGCTTCAACAGTTACCCTTATGATTAAATCCTCATCCCCACTAGTACAGTGACTGTCTGTCAACATAGGAAGATTTTACAGAATCACTGGCTATATTCTCCATGCTGTACTATTACCCCAATGTTAATCACTGGCTATATTCTCCATGCTGTAGTATAACCCAAATATACTATGAATGAGAATTTTAGTGCCCCTTTATCCTTCTCCCCATCCTCACCCACCCACTCCAGCCCCTTCCCCATGTTAACCACCAGTCACTTCTCAGTGTCTATGAGTTTACTGCTATTTTCAATTTGTTTTGCTTTGTTTTATATTCCACAAATAAGTGAAATCATATGGTATTTGTGTTTCTATGCCTGGCTTATTTCAATGAGAGTAATAACCTCTAGTTCCATCCATGTTGTTGCAAATGGCACAATTTCCTTTTTATGGCTGAATAATATTCCAATGTGTATACATCTTCTTTATCCATCTATTGATGGACACTTAGGTTGGTTCCATATCTTGCCTATTGCAAATAGTGCAGCAATAAACATAGGTGTGCATATATCTTTTTGAATCAGGGACTTTGTTTTCTTTGAGTAAATTCCTAGAAGTGGAATTACTGGATCAAATGGTATTTCTATTTTTAGTTTTTTGAAGACCCTCAATACCGCTTTCCACAGCAGCTTCAACAATATACATTCCCTTCAACAGTGCAGGAGGGTTCCCTTTTCTCCACACCCTTGCCAACACTTGTTATTTCTTGTCTTTTGGATGGTGACTATTCTAACTGATGTGAGGTGATAGCTCATTGTGATTTAGATTTGTACTTCCCTGATGATTAGTGATGTGGAGCATCTCTTCATGTGCTTGTTGGCCATTTGTGTTTGTTCTTTGGAGAAGTGCCTGTTCAGATTCTCTGCCCATTTTTTAATTGGGTTATTTGCTTCCTGGGTGTTGAGGTATATAAGTTATTTATTTTGGGGGGATATTAACTCCTTGTCAGATAATGTTGTTTATGAATATATTCTCCCAAACTGTAGGATGTATTTTTGTTCTACTGATGGTGTCCTTTGCTGTAAAGAAGTTTTTTAGTTTGATGTAGTCCCACTTGTTCATTTTTGCTTTTGTTTCCCTTGCCTGTAGAGATGTGTCCAGGAAAAAAATGCTCACACTTATGTTCAACTGATTTTTGCCTATGTTTTCCTCTAAGAGTTTTATGGTTTCATGTCTTACATTTAGGTCTTTGATCCACTTCAAGTTTACTTTTGTGTATGGAGATAGACAGTAACCCAGTTTTGTTCTCTTGCATGTAGCTGTCCCATTTTCCCAACACGTTATTGAAGAGTCTTTCCCCCATTGTATATTCATGGCTCCTTTATCATATATTACCGGACCTTGTATGTGTGGGT